TCGATGTCCAGACGCGTTTGCATTCTTTCCATGAGCAAGGCGTTGATCTTTGTACCCAACTTTTTTGCAGTCCACGCGGCTGTCTTGTTCACTTTTGTCTGAGACTCTTTTAATTCTTCCCTCCAGGAATGAGGCATCTTGAGGGAGTCCAAACGCCTTGTAATCAACGTCTGCGAGTCTCTGAGCCTTTCCAGCGCTTGAACATGCGACGCCGTTGGTCTTTTGACAATGCTGAAATTGTGTGCATCGTGGCCTACTTCAAATGTGGGGAAGGCCTACAGGGTTCAACCAACGCCCAACTATGGGTGGGTTTAGTGGCTTGTGTCAGAAACAGTCAAAAGCAAGTGATTGTCATGGGAGATTTCAACATCACGCCTGACGTTTTCATGACTACCACAATGGCCCAGCGCATGCAAGTTCAAGTTTTGGCTACAGGCGAAGAAACCTGCAACGCGGGCAATGAAATAGATTGGGCTTTGGTGTCGACTCCGCTGATTGCTGACCTCAAGGTCCAGACAAACTGGTTAGTGCCTTTTAAGCCACATGCCATGCTGCAATTTCAACTGGACGGTCATTTTGAAGAGTGACTGCATACCATCCACATCCTTCAAGGATTTGCTTGTGCACATAATGGAAATGCATGCTCTGTGGGTGTAAAAGCATCATGCCTCCATGGGTTCCGCCTTTCACCGTTTCAGCAGCAGGTTCTCCCATGACCCCATAGCCTCTGACGGACATCCACTGCATCATCTTTGCATGGAAGATGGGCTGCCTCTTCTTAGTGAGAAGCCATTGCCGAACTTGCTGGCCCAGGTTCGTAACATTTGCAAAATCAAAACTGATCCCTTCTTGGCATCTTTTTTTGGTGCTGGTTCAATTGTTCGAGCAACTGTTCAGAGGGAACTGCCCACATTTGTTGCTTCATTTCTTCCGGCAATTGTGCTGTTGGTCTGGGGAAAGCTCCATCGTCCACTAACCAGCTTAGTCCTCTGTACATGAAAACTGCAAAGAAATGCCCACGCTGATGTTCATTTCCAGAGTGACATAGGTACCCAATCACAGAGTATTGCTTGGTTCTGGTCTCATTGCCATCGTATGTGACGGGCAAATTGAAGATGGACGGAACCTGCAGCGGTCTATGGTGCTTGGTCCACTCTCCATTGGCTTTGGTGTATCTGCCAATTTGCCCCACCCACAGTCCATGTCCATCAAAGACCTGTCCTTCTTGGGTTTTTGCCCATTCAGCAATGAGATTTTCCAAATCCTCAGGTCCGTGGTCAGCCGGGTAGATCAAATGGATCGGAAAAGCTTTCTTCTGCCGCACTGCCTGTCGAAAGTCAACCTGATGATAACTCTGTATCACTCGAGCTGAATCCGCCAGGTTCACCATCTCCTGTAAGAAATGCGAAGCATCATCTTGAAACTGATCATCAAACTTCCTCCAGAGGGGTCCTAAGCCTTCTAAATTTGGCAGGTGAACTATGTCGTCCTCTCCTAGAGCAGCAACAACAGCTGCAGTAGAAGTTTTGTTCCACAGCTTTGGTCCCTCCAGAAAACTGCCTGCCCAGGCCCAAAGTCTGAAGGCCGAGTTGTCGAAACATCGATTTCTTGGATTTCCTAATCTGCATTGCAAATTTTGAGCAACATAGTCAAGTGGGCTCATCGGTCCACTTGAAACGCCGGTCATGGTTGACCGAGGATCTTCTTCATCACTAACAGGAACCACATTGTCTTCAGCTCCTGCTCCTCCACAAAAACCAGGATATGGAGTTCCTGGTCCCCCTACCAGACGTTGATCATCTGAATGCCCCATCTCAGACATGGCGATAGCAACCAACATCATTGTCTCCACTCTTCCCCAAGTTGAAGACTGCTGAAAAGGTTGTTTCACCCCTCATTGCCTGCCTGTGCTGTTCAGGCGGGTTACCCACACTTTCTCCTTTTTGCGGCACTTTCAACGAGCTTCACAGCCAGGTCTTTCACCTGTGCTGAGGTGGCTTGAAGTCCTACCGAAGCCATCGCTGTGATTAGTGCCTCTGGAGTGAGCTCTTCTGCCATTTCTTCAGCATCCTTTTGCTTTTCTTGTTCAAGCTGCTGGTTGTATTGGGTCGTCGTATTTTGCAACTCTTTTTGCACAATTTCAATCCTGCCTTGGAGATCTTTGAGCTCCTGAAGTAGCTGGGTGTATTGAGCCTTGACCGTGTCCACCTTGTTCTGCAAGGAGGTCTTCTTCTCGGACAGCTGCTTCAGGGTTCCTACTGCCTGTTTGACCTTTGAGGCCAAAGTGGGCTCTGCTTTCGCTGGTTCCACGATCTTCTCCACTGCTTCTTTGAGATCAGAAGGCAAACTTTGGAGGTGCTCTTTTATCAAAGAGGTAGGTCTGGAGCCGCTGGTGCTTCCACCACTTGTAGGCCAAGGGCCGTGCACTGGCTTCTAAAAGCCTCAGGAAGTTGATCCCAATGATCTTTCATCCCTTTTGCATGCCTGTTTCCTTCTCTTTCCTGGCCTTCTTTTTGGTCTGTCCCCCGGTCAGGCCCGGAGGGGCTTCCAGCAAGGCGTCCTTGTAGCTTTTCTTTGGCCAACGATGGCCAGCACCCCCAAAATTCCATCTTGCCCAAGTGACCTGTGGTCGCCGGCGTAAATCTGGAAGTACATCCTTTTGCCACTTTCTTCCGCATTGATTGCACACCATGTTGGGTTTGCCCACCAGCCTGTCTTCCCAGCCCCAACTGCATCGACAGCTGGTGCAAACCCTATAGTGCCTTTGCATGTTCTCCTGCTTTGTCACGATCTGGCCCAGCTTCTCCTTTGGGAAGAGGTGACCGTGACGGTCTGCTCTGCACCAACAGCCGGTAGCTGAGGTACTTGATGCTGAAATGGCTTGAGCCTTGAGCCACGCTCTCGATATGTATATATATATATTATATATATATATATACAATACACAATCCCAGCCACTCGGCGGATTCTGCAACGACCAGCCTTGTAGAGCGCTTGCATCACGCGAAATTCCCGGTCCACTGCGTGCGCACCTCGGATCACCTTGCCTGAGTCCGCACCCCGTGGCACAGAATAGACAGGTAACTTCGGCAGTCAAGGTAGAAGGCGATTGCTGGTACCTAATAGCGATGGCCTCCAACCTAAGGCAAGCTTGCTGCTGCTAGTAGAACTTCTGTGAATGTAGAGACGGTAAAGAGGTTCAAGACCAGCCAAATCCAAAAGTCACGGAAGCAACCATGTCTCCGACCCGCCTGGCGGCTGCTTCCGCAGGACATACCTAGAGAAATGATCAGCGCAGCCGCAAGTGGTGTGGCTTCTGCTCTGAGGATGATGGAAAAGGTGTGCGGCAATACGCTGATGTGCGGCCATGAAAGACCCAGCAAAGCATCAGCAACATACACATCCCAATTCCAACTGTTGGCCTCCTATCATTTGCTTCCAGGCAGTAGGTTGGGTTCGACCTCAGTCACTGACAAAATTAGACAAAATGGAAAATGTGTGGAACATGTTCAAGCAACTAAAGTGTAATGTTTTGTAACTCACTGAGCTCCAGCTGGCCATATCCAAACTTCTTCACGCTCAGAGGCCCTTCGACGCCAGGAAGCCCCTGGGCAGTGGAGAGTCTTTATGGTTAGGTCACACCAAATGTTTAAGAGAGGTTGGTTGGATTAGAAGAAGCCAGCGCTTTAGTTTTGCTTTTTGATTGATCCCAAACAAAAGTCCAGATGTGCAATGGTTTAGAGGCCAAAAGCACGGTTCAGCAAGTAAAGTTCCTCTCGAGGAACGAAAAAACATATACAGTATATCACTTCTGCAGAGTGGTGCCTGTCGCGCCAAGAACGCCTGCAGGGCCGCCTCATCAAAACGAAGGCGCTCCTGAAGGTCGTAGCGTAGTCAGTGGAGGGGATCCCAACAGACCAAGTTACTACTAGTAAGGCACTTGTTACTAGTAGCGATGCACTTGTTACTACTAGCGAACATTGTTACTACTAGTAAGGCACCTGTTACTACTAGTAAGGCACTTGTTAGTTGGAGGCCATCGCTAAAGTCCTTCTGAGCCAAACAAAAGCGTTGAAGCCATTGTCCAAAATCTGATGACACTGCAGTTTACATCGCGTCCCAAGAGCCGGATCCAATTTCCATCGCTTGACACGCTGTTGCGTCTAGGATCCACATATCAATCGTCCACCATCGCTCGAGCTACGGTGGAAAGAGTGACTTTCGCTCCACCGTTGGCTCCTCCACTTCCACGGTCTTCTGACTGGGATTCCGCATGGCTGGGCAGTGGGCGCGGTGGTTGATCTTTTAAGATGCTCGGTGTGAAGTTGGCATACTTGCTTGAACTTTAGGCTGGCTACACCCACCTCCGGCTACACTGCAGTGAGCTACTATGTGTTTGCTTAAGCTGATGAGCATACCGCACACCTGGTCTTCTCAGCATGTCTTTTAGCACATGGAAAAAAGAAAGAGATCGAGAGGGTTTGGATTTTGAACTGAAGCCTCCTGCAATCCTTCCGTTGTCACGTGGGCAGGCACTGACTGAAGCGACACTGCTGAAGGAGTTATACATTCAGGCCAGCAAAAGCTTGAGCCCAGTCACGGAGAGGTGATTGTGAGTTTCCTACGCTATACGCAGTACACAAAGAGAGACAACTCCGTGCACCAACGAAGCGCCTGGAGGATCAGCCCGATTGCTGACACCTGGCAGTTTGCGTGCGAACAAGAGGGGAATTAAAAAGGGCTTCGGCTTCGTTACCCTAGTAGCTTCTTGTTCCTAGTAGTATATAATGCCAGGAGCCCCTACCTTGCTCTTAGTAGTATGGCCAGGAGCCCCTAGTAGCGTTCTTGTTCCTAGTAGCGATGCCCTTTGCTCCTAGTAGCTTCTTGTTCCTAGTAGTAATGCCAGGAGGTAGCTTCTTGCTCCTAGTCGCGATGCCCGTTGTTACTAGTAGCTTCTTGTTCCGGGCACCAAGCTGGTTGCAAGCACCTTCCATCGATTTTCTTCCTTTCTGCTGGTCGCCAACCCTCGGGATCCATGCATCAGACACGTCGCCAAGGTGGACATGCAAAACGGATCGAGAAAGATGAATGTTGGCCGTGGACGGCCGGCAAGCACACCTCGCTGGTTTAGTAACGGTAGTGGTCCATCTTGAAAGGACCTGCAACAGAGCCACTGATGATTGAGGCGAAGGGTTTTTGCATGTTACTTAAACTATCTTTTACCATGTTCAACACTTTGGCGCTCCCATATCCTTGGGCCTTCGGGCTTCACGCCAATGTACTCGGCCTGCTCCTTGGAGAGCTTCGTGAGGCTGGCGCCCAAGGCCGGCAAGTGGAGAGCTGCCACCTTCTCATCAAGCTTCCTGAGGGAACATTGATAAACGTCAAGAAACATCAAGAAACCAAGGGCAAAAACTCTAGATAGTTGAATCCCAAAAACGATTCTAGTCAAGCTGTTGCACGACTGGGTGTTGACTAGATGTCCCGCCGAGTGTCTTTGGCAGCAGATACACGTCGTTCTTGTAATTCTTCGCCTAGCGGCAAGCCCATGCAATCTGTCAATGGACATGACAAAGGAGTCACATCATATAACTGCAAACAGTCGCAGCCGGCCTTGGTGCAATTCTCCAAGATGTCAAGCTGGGCCAAGACCTGTGGCAATTCAGCATCAAGAGGAAAGGCATGGCTGCAAGCACATTCAAGTCCAGTGCCTGGTTGGTGAAGGAGCATGACATCACGAAGGATGGATGGCCAGTGGCGCAGCCCAGGTTCACCAGTCGGCCAGATGCCAACACAATCACACCGTGGCCATCAGGGAAGACAAAGCGATCCACCTGTGGTTTGATGTTCTCGACCTTGATGCCAGGGAAGTTCTCCAAGTCCTCCATTGCGATCTCATTGTCGAAGTGTCCAATGTTGCACACAATGGCGTTGTTCTTCATCTTCTTCATGTGATCCAAGGTGATGATCTTGAAGTTGCCGGTGGCAGAGGTGAAAATGTCAACCTCGCCCACGACTTCTTCAATCGTCACCACCTGGAAGCCTTCCATGCACGCCTCACGGCATTGAGTTAGCTACTGTACCACTTCAAAAAAGAGTGTGGTGTGTGTATATATATATATACACCGCTTAAAGTTACCTAAATGGAACAATTGCCTTCACGGCACTCGGACCACTCGCACAAAACAAGCAATCACATGTACTGTACCAAATGCCCTTGTGAACACCAAACAAGCCACAAATGAATGTTCATCTGACAAAAATGCATCCTGCCTGGAGAGCGCAAATGGGGTCGATCTCAGTGATCAGCACACGGGCACCAGCACCCCTCATGGCGAAGGCGCATCCCTTTCCGACATCTCCGTAGCCCGCCACGAGGGCGCGCTTTCCACCAATCATCACATCAGTGGCACGCATGATGCTGTCAGGCAGAGAGTGGCGGCAGCCATACACGTTGTCGAACTTGGACTTGGTCACGCAGTCGTTGACGTTGATGGCAGGGAAAAGCAGCTCACCCTTGGCCGCCATCTCGCGAAGGCGATGCACACCTGTGGTGGTCTCCTCACTGACACCCTTGCACTTGGCAGCCATGCGGGTGTACTTGGTCTTGTCGGCCTGGATGGAGTCCCTCAGCACCTGCAAGACACACTTGAACTCGGCGTTGGTGGTGCTTGCAGGATCAGGGAGGCTGCCATCCTTGGCAAACTTCTCCTCCAACTCCTTGCCCTTGTGGACGAGCAAAGTAGCATCACCTCCATCATCCACGAGCTGGTCGCAACCATCAGCACCTGGCACCGTCATCATCTGCTCAGTGCACCACCAGTACTCTGGCAGGGTCTCTCCCTTCCATGCGAAGACTGTCGCAGTGCCAGCCTTGGCAATGCCTGCAGCAGCATGGTCCTGGGTGCTGAAAATGTTGCAAGAGCACCAGCGCACTTTGGCGCCCAAAGCATGAAGGGTCTCAATGAGGACACCTGTCTGGATAGTCATGTGGAGCGAGCCGTTGATGTTCAAACCCTTGAAAGGCTGCGCTGGTCCAAACTCCTTCCTTGCTGCCATCAGACCTGGCATCTCATGCTCCGCCAAAGTCAACTCCTTGCGGCCGAACTCGGCAAGGCCCATGTCCTTCACCTTGGAGTCTGCTATGATGCTAGGGAGTTTGTCTGTGAAGGGTAACTTAACCAGTCGGTCTGTACTTCCTGAGCCAAGCATATCAGGCAATAGGTCAAAGCAAAGGCGTCAAGAAACTGTCACAAAAGCAAGTGAGCAAGGTTGCTGACTGAAACTCCACTCCATCTCCCTGTCCGCTCCCCCAAACGGGCCAGCAAAGCTCAGGTTGAATCCTTCCGGAACTGTGAGCTTCAGTGAATGATGGCCGTGCCCTGACGGGCTAGGGGACATAGGGTGCTCTCATGGTGCTCTCGGCACCCGGATTCCGCACGCAGCCGGGAGTCCGGACGCATGTCTGGGAAGTTGATGGCCTGGCCGGAGTGAACCATCTCATCAATGAAGTTTATCCTGTGAAAAGAACAAAAGTGAATTCAGTGGCAACGACCTTGAGTATATATATATATATATGCTTATGTAATTTAAAAACAACAAACAAGCGCAGGTGTGTAGACAAAATAGACAAAGCACCCATTCCATCATCCCTTGCAAAGACCAGGCTTCGACCAGCTTTTGCGTTCACTACGTTTTGCTCGGCCCGTTTTTCTTGAAACAATGTTGAAAACAAGAACACGGGCGGGGCGGAGGGATGAAAAGTCCCAATAGCCGCTCGGATCGTGGATCATCGCAGCGTCCATTTTCTTCGTTGGGGGAGTCCACCTGGAAAGAGGGTGGACTCCCATCCATGACCCACTTGCACGTTTGAGCGAATATTAAAATAGGGGGGCCCTCAAAGAGCCTTAAGTCAGACTGGCAAGAGTAGGATTGGACCTAAACCCCAATAGTCGGAGATGATTAAAAGACACCTCCCTGTCCTATTCTGTTACATCTTGGCTGATCGATTCAAAGAGAACTCCTGGAGTTCTTCTCACCCACCTGATAGCAACTCTTGGCATTTTGCCGCATGAGCTCCTTGAGGCGCCGGCGCCCCTCCTGACACCGATATATATTTGTGTGAGAGGTGGTGAGAAAGATGGAGGGAGGAGGATGGGGTGCAGAATGATTGCCTACTGGTCTGAATTGGTTGGAGCTATGACACCAACTTGAGAGTCATGGTCCATGGTTTTGATCTAGAAGCGCCCTATCTGCTCCTCAGCAGCCATCTCCTCCAAATCCAAAGAGCTCATACGACTGCACCTAATTGAATTTCAATTGAAAGACCGAATTTTCAACAAATTTCTCTGAGAACGCCCGGCTGCGAGGAACATCGTGAATCGATGCTGAAGTTGGAGCCTCAGTTCCAAGTCAAAGAACTGGTGGAGCTTGTTCTCTCATTCTCCCATTGCATCGGTACCCAGCCGTGAAATATTCCTTCTTGGGCTCCCCACAACTGCGCGCACTACGCACACTGCGCACACTGCGAACGCTGGTTGATCGTGCAGAACGAACGGACCTGGGCACCAAGTAACACGATCAGAAAACATCTCCAAAACCTTGAATCAAACTTGGTATGGCCAGATGTCTCCCCACTGAGATTCTGGCTCTGGCGTCATGTTGAGCCGGCGACCAGTTCCTGAAAGATCCATTGAGTCAAAGCCGATTGCGCAAACAGGCAAAGAACAGGAAAAAACCTTCTAAAGCTATTTGCATCCGTTGTTCTTCCAAAAAATCCATAAACATCCCTCTGCATTCGTTCGAAACAAATCCCCTCGGACGGGCAGTCGAGTCCGGAGTCACAGAGTCTAGGTACAGGACTCGCGCCAGGGCCAGGGCTGGAAACCTGTCGCATTCGCAGGGCTAGGAATCTCTAGTTCAGTTGATTTTTATCGGGAAATGCAACGATGATTGTTACATTAGCTTCTTCACCCCACACAATTCGCGTTTTAGGAGGCTCAACGTCCGAACTGAATATCACAGGTCTTCACTACTCCTTCCCTACACCCACATGAAGGGGGCAAAAACACGAAACCAAAAGCCTCGAGGCACTCACCGCAAAACACCTCCGACGCATCAAACGCCTCAAAGCGTGGAGCTTCCAGGCGCCGTAGCGTCTCGGGAGCCTTGGAAAAGAGGCACTGAACGAACGCGTGGCAGTGGGAGGCCGAGAAAGGAGAAAGAGAGAAGAGCCTCCAGCAATGGCCTCCAACCTGATAGCTTTGGCCACCAACCTAATAGTGATGGCCAGAGCGATGGCCTCCAACCTAGTAGCGATGGCCTCCAACCTACTAGCATCGGCCCCCAACCTTATAGCAATGGCCTCCAACCTAAGAGCAATGGCATCCAACCTACTAGCATTGGCCTTAAACCTGATAGCTTTGGCCTCCAACCTAATAGCGATGGCCTCCAACCTAAGAGCAATGGCCTCCAACCTACTAGCAATGGCCTCCAACCTGATAGCGATGGGCTCCAACCTACTAGCAAAGGCCTCCAACAACCTAAGAGCAATGGCCTCAAACCTTTTGGCACTGGCCTCCAACTCAAGAGCGATGGCCTCCAACCTACTAGCAATGGCCTCCAACCTACTAGCATTGGCCTCCAACCTTTTAGCAATGGCCTCCAACCTAAGAGCAATGGCAGCATTGGCCTCCAACCCTTTAGCAATTGCTTCCAACCCAAGAGCGATGGCCTCCAACCTACTAGCAATGGCCTCCAACCTAATAGCAATGGCCTCCAGCCTAATAGCGATGGCCTCCAACCTAATAAGATCAACGGCTTCCAACCTAATAGCGATGGCCTCCAACCTCATATCGATGGCCTCCAACCTACTGCAATAGCAAGGGCCTCCAACATACTAGCACTGGCCTCCAACCACACAGGGATGGCCTTCAACCTGATACCTTTGGCCTCCAACCCAATAGCGATGGCCTCCAACCTACTAGCAATGGCCTCTAATCTTTTAGCAATGGCCTCCAACCTAAGAGCGATGGCCTCCAACCTACTAGCAATGGCCTCCAACCCACTAGTGATGGCCTCCAAGCAATGGCTTCCAACCTAGTAGCAATGGCCTCCAACCTACTAGCAATGGCCTCCAACCACAGGGCCCCCAACCTTTTAGCAATGTCCTCCAACCCAAGTGCGATGGCCTCCAACCCAATAGCGATGGCCTCCAACCTACGAGCAATGGCTTCCAACCTAATGGCCTAATAGCGATGGCCTCCAACCTAAGAGCAATGGCTTCCAAGATAATAGCAATGGCTTCCCACCATAGCAATGGCCTCCAATCTACTGGGGATGGCCTCCAACCAAATAGTGATGGCCTCCAACCTACTAGCAATGGCCTCCAACCTTTTAGCAGAGGCCTCCAAACCTAAGAGCGATGGCCTCCAACCTGATAGCAATGGCCTCCAACCTACTAGCAAAGGCCTCCAACCTTCTAGCAATGCCTCCAAGCGATGGCCTCCAACCTACTAGCAATGGCTCCAACCCTTTAATAGCGATGGCCTCCAACCCAATAGCAATCGCCTCCAACCTAATAGATGGCCTCCAACCTCATATCAATGGCCTCCAACCTAATAGCAATGGCCTCCAACATACAAGCGATGCACTCCACCTACTAGCAATGGCCTCCAACCTAATAGCAATGCCTCTAGCCTAATAGCGACGGCCTCCAACCTTTTAGCAATGGCCTCCAACCTAAAGCCGATGGCCTCCGACCTACTAGCGATGGCCTTCAACCCACTAGCGATGGCCTCCAACCCACTAGGGATGGCCTCCAACCTAATAAGAGCAATGGCTTCCAACCTAATAGCGATGGCCTCCAACCTCATACAGTATCAATACCCTCCAACTAGCAATGGCCTCCAACCTAATAGCGATGGCCCCCAATCTACTGGCGATGGCCTCCACCCAGGGGTTGGGGGAACGAAAGGGTATGAGCCAAATGAGATAAAGATAGATAAAGCATCATAAAACTAATGATAGCTACCATTAACTTGGAGACAAACTGTACACCTACTGTCTGCAAGAGGCACGCTTGCTGCCAGTCGTCAAGGGTAGTTAAAGCCGGGGCAAGACAGTCTAATCCTTTCGAGTGATGTCTTGGTGGAAGATGCTTGATGGGTATGGAAAGAACCTTCGTTTGTGATATGCACGGACTAGTTCGGTACATGACAACTTGTGTGCATATCCCGTTTTTTGAGGTTTCCATGGTATCACAAAAGTGTATATAGGTGTCCAAAACTGTGATTTTGTGTGCTTGTGGAACAAGACTTGTGTTGGTAAGACTGAAAAAGGGAGATGTTTAAGCTGTCAGAAGACCCCACAAAAATAACAGCAGGGTATCCTCTGCAAAACGAGCTCCGACACGCCAAATTAGGTTCACAAGTCAGCTATGAGACACAAGCCCTGCTACTTACCCAAACGAAGCGCTGGACGCGTGCGCTGCATGCGCTTCGAAGTGCCCGACTGAAACCAAGATTGAAAAGGCACACATCTCTGAGTGTCTGGGTCCCCCACCCGTTGACCTAAGGTGACGCCGATCTTCACGCAAGACGGAATTTCAAGCAGGGCCCATCAGGTTACTGTAGACTATATAATCAAAACAATCCAAACGTTGAAAATGCGTGCGGAAAGATTCTGATCGTTGCATTCGTCATGACACGAGTGTCACTGCGGACAAAGAAAGCACAATCTGGCAAGTGCTCCCTGAGGTCTTTGTTGCTCAGATGCACACAAATCAATTCCCACAGTTTGGGCATGCAAACTATATATTGGAGTTTCCAAAGCAACTAGGGAGGGTCCTGACAAGGTTGACGAGAAATGAACGATTATAAAATATATGAAGTGGTCTTGTATTTGTGCAGTTTCGTTCTGTGACATTTGCTCTTCGTCAAGAAGCCTACATCGCCTCGGTACAAAATCGCAATCACAAAGAAATATAAAGAAATAACAAGATTTACAGTTCACACATTCACACTTTACCCTGTACACATTGTTCAACTGGAACCAACCATCCAATGGTCGTGTCCTCCGGAAACAGATTTCAAACGGTTTTGTTGAACCTTTAAGAAAAAAAAAAAGTCTTCAGAGCTCGTCGGGAAGAAACGTCGACTGAGCCGAGTCACGCAACGACTGGCTCCAGGGCGAGGCCGCCGCGTCGCCTACG